TCCAGACCCAGCAGTGGAAATGAGATAGGTTTCACACACTGTAAACCCATACTAAGGGACAGTCACACCCTGAATAAATCCTCCCTCCATTGGATCAAGACTGTGACAAAATGAAGGACAAGATATTCCACCCCATTCTCGCCACAACTGCTTGTCTGCTTCACAGAAGATCCCATCATGGTGTTGACCAAACCATGCTACACCACATCATGGGAGAATCCCGGCCCTGCCAAGTCAGCATAAAACCTAACAAACACGATTGCATATACATTGCCTCAAACTGGTAACAAACTGATGTGGAAATCATAAGTTATTAATATCTTAATATTACCAATAATATTTAAAAGATAAGTTAAAAATATGTCAATGGAATATTTAAAACTTGGTTTATCCAGTATGTGTATATATAAACATGCAGAGATTATTAAATTCACTGTTTAAAAAACCAATAGATGATATAATTAAGAGATAATTCACCAAAAAATGGAACATTGATGTACAGTTTTTGTGCTTTGTAGCAAAGCTTATCACCTGAAGAATAAATAACAAAAACCTCTCTGCTGCCTGTGTTTTGTACCTTACAGCAGGATGGTAGATCTGTTATCATCTGTCAAGATCGAAGAGTGTGATGATAGTTCAGCATACAAAGCAACTCTTTTTGATATTTGTTTCCTAAACCAATAACCCTTATAGTCAAATAATATAAAACTTAACATGGATTTTACAATTAAATTATATTTGTGGTTTCTCACACAGTAAGAAGGTATCCTAAATAATTCACTTTCTTCCTATATAAAAAGAAAAATGAGAGGCGCATTTACTGTATACTATTTCTTATGAACCTCTCCCTAATCCGAGTAATCCCAGAGCCCTTTGGTGATGCAGGTGTTATATAAACCTTTACAAGCGGTATTGCAGCAAATTCTGAATTTGAGAATTCATGTCTGTTTTAAGAAGCACTGGTAGCACTATAGGATAGGCTTTGGACTACCAACTGCAAGGTCAGTGGCTCAAAACCCACCATCCCATCCTTGAGGAAAAGATGATATGTTGAAAGAAGGTGGGAAGAATACACAGAGGCATGGTACAAGAAAGAAATAATGCACATTCAACCATCTCAAGAGGTAGCATATGAGCAAGAACCAATGGTACTGAAGGAAGTCCGAGCTCCACTGAAGACATTAGTCAAAAAGAAGGCTCAAGAATTGGTAGAAAACCAGCTGAGATGTTTCAGCAAGCTAATGAAACAATGGAATCAATCACTCACCTATGACAAGAAATTTGGAAGACAGCTACTTGGGAGACCGGCTACTTGGCCAACTGACTGGAAGAGATCCATATTTGTACCTATTCTAAAGAAAGGTGACCCAACAGAATGCCAAAATTGTAGAACAATAGCATAGATATCACATGCAAGTAAAATTTTGCTAAAGATCATCCAAAATGGTAGCAGCAGTACATTGACAGGGAATTGTACAGATGCCCATGCTAGATTCAGAGGGCGTGGAACAAGGGATAGCATTGCTGATGTCAAATGGATCTTGGCTGAAAGGAGAGAGCATCAGAAAGGCGTTTCCTTGTATGTTTTTGACTTATCTGTTGTAACTATAGAAAGGCAGGGGACGATGTGGATGATAACAAATTATAGAAAATCTCCAGAAGAATGGGAATTCCAGAACCCCATTGTGCTCATGAGAAACCTGCATGTAGATCAATAGGCAGTTGTGTGAGTAGAACAAGGGAACACGTCATGGTTTAAGATCAGGAGAGGTGTGCATCAGGGTGATATCCTCTCACTGCACTTATTCAATTTGTATGCTGACCGAATAATCAGAGAAGCTGGACTATATGAAGAAGGACTGGTATCTGTATTGGAAGAAGGCTTATTAACAACCTGCTATATGCAGATAACACACCTTGCTGGTGGAAAGTGAGGAGGACTTGAAGCACTTGCTCAGGAAGTTCAAGGATTGAAGCCTTCAATATGGATTACAATTCAATGTAAAGAAGACCAAAATCTGTACAACTGGACC